AAGAAAAAAGAAAATGTAAGTGCATGTCGAAATACACTCGTATGTGCGTAAAAGCACAATGTCGGCGGAAAAAAAATGGAAAATAAACTCACGAACACGTAATAGCGTTAAAAAAATTGTTTTTTTGTTTTTTTTTTTTAAATAGAAATAAAAATATATAAGCATATTAAAATTGTTTTTTTTTTTTAAAAATAATATAAAATGTCGAGAAGTGCCTTACGTGCAATAGTCGTTTAGATGTTCTGGAAATCTCACCCTTCTTCCAGAACGCGTCGTTTTAAGTTTATTTTCGGATACTGTCGAAGTATCATCGTGTGTGTTGGTTGTCGGATGAGGTATTATAAGTGTCGGAGTCGTGTCGTTCGATTGTACCGAAGGAAAATCCACGTAGATAGGATTTCCTTCTAAATACGCTGCTTTTAAGCGATCGATACTGATGCTATCGTTGGTTCCGTTCTTATCGACTATATAGTACTTAGATTCACGTTGAAGAACTTTGAAGGGTCCTTCGTATGCTGATTCGAAGGGTCGTCGATGCGAGTCTCGACGAACGAAAACGTGTGTACTATATCGTAAGTCAGGTTGAACGAAAACATCAGTTGATTGAGGTCGAGTGGAAGCAGGTTTAACTGAACGCATTGCGTTTGTAAGCCTGTTCGTGTAGGAGGTTAGATCCATGTTCATTGAAGAGGATGAAGGATCCACGAATTCTCCTGGAAGTCGAAGTGTCGTACCATAAACGAGTTGAGACGCAGTGTATCCAATGTCAGCTTTCACTGCATTGCGGATACCTAGTAAGACGAGTGGAAGAGCGTCGGTCCACTGTGAAACGTTTGCAGCTGATAGCAAAGCTTTCAGTTGTCGGTGAAAACGTTCTACCAACCCGTTTGCTTGTGGATGGTAGGCGGTCGTTCGGAATCGAGTGATTCCTAAAAGTGTGGTCAGACGACGGAAAAGATCGGATTCAAACTGACGTCCGCGGTCTGTAGTGATGGTTGAAGGGCAGCCGAAGTTTGCTACCCATCGTTCGACGAAGGTGCGGGTCACTGTTTCAGCAGTGATGTCCTTGATAGGTACTGCTTCTGGCCATCGAGTGAAACGGTCTACGCAGGTTAAGAGATAAGAGTATCCATTTGAATCTGGTAAAGGTCCTACCAAATCCAGATGAACATGGTCGAAACGAGCATCGGGAGTTTTAAACGAGCCTAAGGGACATTTATTGTGTCTGATAACCTTAGATTTTTGGCAGCTTACACAGGAGCGTGCCCACTCCCTCACGTCTTTATTCATTCCAGGCCAGCAAAACCTTTCTGCAATAAGCTTGATGGTTGCACGAACACCTGGATGAGAAAGTTTGTGCAATGTGTTGAAGACATTGTGTCGATAATGTTTCGGCACGATTGGGCGATCCCTACCTGTAGATGTGTCACAAAGTAAGGTTTCCTTACCTGTTCCCGTCTGTTTGATGCGTAGTTTAAGTGTTGTTGACGATAACTCGTGCTGAAGATCACTGTCTTCTTTTTGAAGCTCGGCGAGTTTAAGAAGGTCGATTCCTTGGAAACTGTTCAAGGAAGTTATGCGAGATAAAGCGTCTGCAACTACATTGTTTGCTCCAGAGATGTGTTGAATGTCTGAAGTAAACTGCGAAATGTAGTCCAGTTGTCGAGACTCACGGGGAGAGTACTTGTCAGAAGGAGAGCTTAACGAGAAAGTGAGCGGTTTATGATCCGTGAAAAGAGTGAATTCACGACCTTCGATATAGTGTTGGAAATGCCGTACAGCACAATACATAGCTAGGAGTTCCCTACCGAATGTGCTGTACCTCGATTCGGTGTCTAGCAACCTTCTAGAGAAAAATGCCAAGGGTTGCCAGGAGTTGTTAACCCATTGTTGTAAGACTCCTCCGATTGCCGAGTCGGATGCGTCTACTGCGATGCTAATGGGTGCTCGGGTGTCCTGATGTGCGAGCATTATTGCTTTAGCAATCAGTTCCTTAACTGTGGAGAATGCTTTTCGTGCGGTGTCGTCCAAATTAATGGATTTCGCATTTCCACGAAGTTGGTCGGTCAGAGGTTTCATAAGTAATGCGCATTTCGGTATGAAACGTCTATAGAAACTTACCAGGCCGTTAAACGTGCGTAATTGCTTGACGGTGGTCGGTTCTGGGTAATCCAGAATGGCCGCCACTTTGGTCGTAAGAGGTTGAATGCCTTGAGCATCGATAGTGTGTCCTAGGAAGTCTAACGAGTCGGTTCCGAATTGGCATTTCTGAACGTTTACAGTTATGCCATGTTTTTGAAGTCGTTCGAAAACAAGATCCAGATGCTTGAGATGTGTTTCTCTGTCCGGACTTGCGATTAGACAGTCGTCAACATACGCGTGTACGAAGTTGAGACCTCGAAAATCGTCGTCTATGAATCTTTGGAATGTTTGATCAGCGTTCTTTAGACCGAAAGACATTCGCAAAAATTCATAGAGTCCGAAAGGAGTTATGATAGGTGTTTTCGGTATGTCGTCAGTAGCCATAGGGATTTGGTTATACGCTTTAACCAAGTCGATTTTCGAAAAGACAGTTGTACCTTTCAAGGTAGCTGTCAAATCGTGAATGTGAGGCAAGGAGAAACGATCGGGAATGGTTTTCGCGTTCAGTCGCCGATAGTCACCAGTTGGACGCCAATCGTTGCTACCCTTTTTAGGGACCATGTGCAACGGAGATGCATATGCGCTACTTGACGGTCGTATGATTCCTAAGTCTATCATGTGGTCGAACTGGTTTTTCACCAACCTTAGCTTTTCGGGAGCTAGTCGTCGTGCTTTAGAGAATACAAATGGTCCTGTAGTCGTGATGTGATGTGTAACATTGCTGGTTACACACGGTAGTTTCGGTTGAGTTTGTTGTATCCCAGGATACTTATCGAGTAGTGGTTGGTAGAGTGGGTCTATCATATGTTTAACTGTGACTGGGGATACTCTACAACCAGTAAAAGAAGTTACGCAAACGGATAAATTAGTGTTTCCGTCTACTAGCCTCCGTTTGCGCGTGTCGATAATCAAATTGTGATGTTGTAGAAGGTCCATACCAATGATTGGCATAGAAACATCTGCAATAAGGAAAATCCAGTGAATGGGTTTGCGTAAGCCCACGTTAAGGTAAACGTACCTTTTGCCATACGTAGCGATAGGTTTTCCGTTTGCCGCCTGTAAGTTAAAAGCCGATTCCTGAAGCCGGTCGTTAGGATTTGCTGGGAGAACGCTAACTTCTGCGCCAGTGTCGACGAGGTAGCGAACTCTCGTTGTCACATCTGTGACGAATAACAGACGGCTGTGTTCGCCGGCTACGGTTGCCGTTAACGCGTGCCGGCTTGGAAGTTTCCCGAAATGCTTTTCGAATCAGTCGGTTTCGTGTTGGGAAAATTGCAGGGTTTTCTGCAATTTCTGGAAGACTTTCCATACTGGTTATGATACCAGCACCAGTCGGGGTTATCTGTCTCTCGTGGTCTAGAGACAGATCGCTTACGAGAAATGCTTCTACGTGGTGTGCGCGATCTCTTACGGTCGGTACGAAGACTAAGATAACGCGTGAGTATGTGACATAAGTCGTTTATATCATTCTGAGTCGTTTGAGGTTTTTCTTTGACTGAAAATACCTCGGTAGTAGATTTCGTAATTTCTAATATGCGGTCGGCAGATGCAGCTAGCTCGTCTAAGGCATTGTTCTGGAACGAGACCAGAACTGCTTGCACCTGTTGGGGAAGTTTTGACAAGAAGAGTTGTTTGAATAGGCCTTCGTCGAAAGTTCTTGGGCCTATTACCTCTTTCATCCGTTGCAACATGTCTGTCGCAGAACCATGTTGCAGGTCGATATTGTTGAAGAGTTGATCTAACCTTTGTCGATCGGTTAGGTCTCCTCGTTTAAGAATCGAACGTTTTAAGGTTTCGTACGGTTCAGAAACATCACTAGTAAACATACTAGGTGTTACGTACCTGTTGAATTCGCGCGGTAGTGCCTTGACTACTGCGAGGAATTGTGCACGTGTGTCGATCACGTCGTGCTCGGAGAAGTCGGCTTCTGCGTAGCAAAACCAGGCTTCGATGTTGTCGGGCCAGAAAGGCATCAGTTGAAACGAAGGCGGGGACAAAGTCTTAAGCTTGAGTACTTTAGGTGTCTGTTCAGTCATGATGAAGTATGAAGTACGATAATGAACAAGGGGAAAATATATATATCCAGGAAAAAACACGAAAAAAAATCACAATGTTTAAAAAAGTTAAAAAAATAAGGCAATGATATATAAAAATCCCAAAAAGGAACAGACTCACAGTTGCAATTAGGTGTACCAGATCACGTCGGTTTCACCAATGTTGATGTCACAGGTATTCAGTGTTTGACAACGCTTCTACCAGTAACACCTTCTAATATATTTCGTTCCCGCCCAGAGAAATCAAAAGACAGAGTCGAGGAGATCGGAAGAGTATATTTGGCGATGACCAATATATCGGAATTCTCTGATCTAATCTGGCTAGCGATTGCGGTTGATGTTGAGCACGGCGTTACCACACGTGATCTGGTGCGGATGACCGACCGAGCGCCTTCAGCTAGGTGAGTCCACTAAAACATATGGTCAGCATCCAATGTCGAAAACTTACAGGGCTATTTATTTTGGGGATTTATTTACCGCTACACGGTTTTGAAGTGAGAAAGTCAACATAATTAAGTAAGGAACATTATGGCAGACAGTGCTCATGTTATCATCAGCTCCGTTCTTGTAGATGGTATAGTAATTAGGTTTGCGATTAAAGGCGTTGAAGAGTCCTTCGTTTGGAGTTTCGAAGAGTCAACAACTAGGTATCAATACGCAAGATGGTTGACGTTTCCGTGTCACGGTCATTTCAGTGGTTCATAGTAGAAGTGAAAAAGTAATCCGCTTTGACTAGTTGATATCGATGAACTACTCATGGCAAGGCTTGGTGGTCTTTGTTTAACTATGCTAATTAAATGAGGGGTTACGAGATTGCGAAAGTAACTATTTGTCAGGCGCCTGTAATGATTCTGTTATGGGTGTCAGCATTTTTAGTGCACTTGGCTCTGATCTTGTACATAGCATTACCGTTGATTGTAGAGAAGTTTCCTGCTTTTTGTCGGCGACTAGTTTTTAAAACACACAGTAAGTCATTTCTGTAGCTACCAATTGTTGTTGTAAATAAACGTCGGCACAAATTTCATTAGTTCATCAAGAAAATGACTGTTAATGAGGATTTATGGCCAATAGATTCTTATATATCATAGTATATAATCTTGTTGGAGTCGTAAATAGAATATTCGACTCCTGGTTTGGTTGGTTGAACCTATTTTAGCTACAGGGAACCAATTGTTCCTAAAAAAGTACCAATGAATCAATGAAAATTAAAGTTTAAGATTCAAAAAGGAGCGAATTTAAAGGTTTTTAGGGCCGGGTAGCACCACATATATTGGCTTCTCGAGTCTTGGGAATTTGTCCAAGTCGACATTTTTGTAGGATTGGATTAGCGCATGTAGGGTCAAGTAAATTTGCGAAGACAGGTGCTGATGGCATAAAGTATGAAACTAAATATTGTTTACCGATACTTTGCTTTTATTTGCTACAGTATTTGTGTTGGTTGATATTTTTGTAGTTGATGAGTGTCATTGCTCATGAAACACTATCTTAGCTTGACTTGCAGAGAAAACGGGACTTCATAAGACGATTTCTATAAAAGTTTACATTCCTTATCCCTGGACTGCTATGTAAGTCTTCTCACACTGGTGAGTGCTAAATGCCCGGGAATGGTTATCTAATCGTGATTCTAGGTAAAAATTATTTGATATTATATTGGAAATCATCGTCCTGTGGGGAGACTTTCTGCAGGTTTCAGTCATCAGAAATTAATTAATCATCGAAGCCGTAACAAGCACATATCAAGCAGCATTGAATCATTTTCTGTGTAGGTCCCAGTAATTTAAGGAGTATTATTAGTCAATGAGGTTGGGAATTGTTAATCTCTTTTAGGCAATGGGCACGGCGTTTATCCACCTAATTAGCTAAACATTTGTGAGGTTATTCCGTATTTTTCCTCAAATTTAAAGAGCTGTATACGGACAGCTAGCTTTCGTTGAAATGAGTTAAACTATTTGGAAAAATTGAAGTAGCTTTGGATTCCAATTAGGTTTAGTATTTTGCATGATGCCAAGCTAGTCATAAAATCTAGTTTGTATCATTGAATTTTCTAAAGAAATTCGGTTTTGACTTCTAGTTTGCTTGGCAGTGGTAAATATGTTAACGGACTAACGTGTGTTAAGATGGTTGAATTAGCCAAATAATTAAAATATCCCGTACCATTGCAGGTTTTACGGATGTCTAGACCTGCCTCCTGAAGTTGATCTTAGTGTTCTATTTGAGGTCAAATTAAGCTGTATCGGAGTTTTTTGTACTCAATATCATGGGGCGTTTGTCAAATTTCTATAATTTAGACAGGTTAAGTTTCTTAGCAAATTTAGTCGCTTGAGAAATCATTGTGGTACTATTTCATCGTTTTTACTAGTTATTGATTTGTGGTGTTTTTTCGTGACTTAGACGGTGTTCAATGAGAAATGATTGAACATTTCTTGGCGAAGTTTAACAACTAAATAGGATGCATTTAATTATCGAGTGAACTTTTACTTACTTATACATACCTAATATAACAACCAAAAAGGAACATGAAGCTACCAAGTTGTGAGCTTGTTTCTGAACATCTAAACACATGCGTATCGTCAGAACTATCTGTTTCTCTAATGAATAGATGTATTGATTCTCCTGATATATTTACTAAAATAATCGTCCCAGTGTTTTGTATCTTGAGGTAGAGAAGAATACAAAAGTATAAATGTAATTAATTTTGTGAAATACTTCATATTAAGGATGTTTTAGGTTGATTTTTTTTATACGTAACCCAGTATTAATGTATGAACTGCATGAATTGAAAGAGGTTTGACGCTAGTACTTTACGAGATCTTCAACTAACTTGGTTTCAATCTCCAAAGCTTAAACAATATTCAACCATACATTTATGAAATAATTTAGTCCACCCATTAGTACTTTCTGAAATTAACTTCATAGTCCATAATTTGGAGATTTTCAATAATTATTTTGAATACGTTGATGAGATTGTGTGAAAATAACTAACTGCACTGTGTAGTACAGTTTTTAATTTTCAGACTGGTTGTCTAAGCCCAGGATGTCCATAGTAGGTGTTAACTTCGTACATTCGCTTTAAATGATTTCAGAATGGGTTATATACGGCCTTGTGATATCTTTCGTGTTTGTTTGTACCGTTTTAGTAAACCTGAAGTGATTCTGAACTTGTTTTTGATGCAGGTGGACCTAGCTTTGGTTCCCGAGTTTATACACACTTTGAATCTGTGGACATCCCTAGTGGGCATGGCCACAATTTCTACATCGCTTCTCTAGATGACAAAGCTCTGTTAGGAGTATGGTAAGTCGCATTCTACTTGAATGATGCAATTCGAATAGGCACAGTTCTTGTGGTGTAACTATATACTTAGTTAAAAGGATACATTTTCTAAAACCATGTAGTTGAAAGTTCCTCATTTTTGCACCTTATTGTTTTAACACGCGAAAATACCGTCGTTCAGCGTTTTCATGTTGTGCAAGTGTTGCATGTATGATGAAAATTGATATGCCGTTTAAGTACAGATTAACCACAATTGGCAGTTATATTTCTCCTGTGTGTCTGTAGACAATGAGATGGATCAAAGAGAAGTATTATCTGTCAAGTATATTTTGTTAACTTTAGAGCTATACCGATAGACACAAAATAAAGTAGTAAGATGCTATTAAATACCAGGTTTTTGAAGAAGACTAAAACGAAAGCACACCTGTTGACTTACAATCTTGATCACATCAAAATTGAAGGGATAAAGAGTTATTAATATACTATAGAACTTCAGTCTGTCATTGGTAGAGAGAAATTTTATTTACAGAAGTGTTCATTCAATGGAACATTTTACGGCGTGGTTGAACTATTAGATAGTTTTAAAGTTAGTTGACTTAGTACTTGTAAATTGGTTATTTATCAACAAACCGACTCAATGAGTATATATTTTGTTATATCCCAATAAGTGCAAAAATTGTATTTCTGGCGTTTTATGACTTAGTTTAAGCCACCTCTTCAGAGTAAATAAATAACGATTAAATTAAATAATACTATTTCAACTTGTGTTAACTCAATTTGGTTATTTATTTACTCTGAAGAAGTGGCTTACATTAAGTCACGAAACGTTAGGAATAAGAGTTTTGTACTCATTGGGATATAAAAAAATATATTTATTATAAACATTCTACTAAATGCTCAATTTGTTTGAAATTAATAAATCTAACCTTGGCATTAATGCCTATAAAAACGATTGAATGACTTGATGTTAAAATTATTTTGCTACCATGTGTTACAGCCCAGGAATTTGTAGAGAGGACATAATATTCATAGACTCCAAATCACAAACTAATCTTAGTTAAACCCTCATTGAAAATCTGGGAGTACTGGACTACCGTTTCACACTAGTATGGGACACCTTAGCAGTTCGCATCTATGAGCCCTCATCCAGGAATCGAATCCAAAATCTTCGGTGCTGAACGACCGCCTGGTCTCTAGACCACTGGTCCGTATTAATATCTAACTTCATTCAGTTCACGGTATTCCTTGATCACCTTTCATTGAATGAGGCGGGTAATTGCCTTACACCTGATATGGTTGGACTTTACCAGTTACGGCTAAGATCAGTTCGTGATTTCAAAACTATGAAAACCTTTTATGTCTGCTGACAAAGTCTATGTCTATAATCTACTGTCTATGAGGACTGAACCTCTGCGATCGTTGAAGATTTATTCTTAAACCTTTTAGTTAATTTTTTTCTACAACTATCACTTATCTTTACCACCAATTAAGCTAGAAAATGATCATAATGTTAGAACTGTGTAAACTTTATTGTGATGTGTAAAGCACTAGACGTAGAGTGAGTAGATGAAATCGAGTCGGTCATCGTTAAACGACTTATGTGAAGTAGGAATATTCTACGGTTGGTTAGTAACTGAAAATTACATTTAGCTAAAAATATATTTGAGTATATGCTTGACAGGTTATGTTCACTGTTGTTGTTGTTGTAAAGGTTATGGTGTCCTCATCGATTATTTTCATTAATCCACGAACACTCACGTAATTTGTTAGTATACTTAATGTTTAAAGCTAGTTTACTGATAACTTTTTAGTTCAATTATATTGTACTGAACACAACAACATAAAACGTCCTTCGATGCCATGATTTACCGTATATATTATTATTTTAGTCTTCCTGTTCCATGGAATTATGATGTGATCACTGTCCTGCTAAAATTATTTTAGTTAAATGAAACCCAAACAAGCTTTGTAATTAGTAATTAAGTATATTTATAGATTAATCAAACGGTTTACCTCCTGCTAAAAGTGACTATATCATCCACTTGATCACTTTGAAAATACTTAGGCTTCAAGATCGTGCTTTGACAATGTCCATATGTGATGATAAGGTTTTGCTGAAATGTAGGATATAACTCTGAAAATATTGCATACTTCGTCAAAGTCCAGTGGTTAAATCTATAGTCATTTAATCTCTGAGTTTTGGGTATAAATTCTTCATATCGTAAAGTAAAAAAATTATTTTAAGATTATTCTTAATTATATCTATTGTCACGATGTTTGTTATAAATCCTACAATCGCCAGATCAAATGGGATAAAGAAAATAACTGATCGCATATTAAGACAAAAATACTAATGAGCTAATTCTAGTGCTAATTAGTTAACGATATCGTGACTACTGATATATTATTAAACCAAACTGTATTGAGGGGTGTTCAACATGATATTAAAAAACAGGAAATTATGTGATGGGAAAAATTACAACAATGAAATAATACTCACAGAGTAGTTACGTTGCATAATAATCATATAATCAAATATTGATTATAAAATAACACGGAGCAATTGGAAGAAAAATGATTATAATAATCAAAATAATTACTCAAAAATCAACCAGTTGCTACGTTGCACAATATATAAGAAGAAATTTGATGAGAGGTCATTATTATAATAGTTGTGTAGAAATCACGGGACGAATGTTGAGAATAAGTAAAATACGAAAGTAGAAAAAACTCAAAAATAGCTTAAATATTTTTAAAAGAGAGAGTTTCATCAAAGTCCTGGTACAAACTGATGGCCAAGGTAGTGAGAGTGGTTGTACAAATTCTTAGTCACTCTTACCTATCCTTTTCTCAACCGGAAAAGTTATATTTCCGCTCAATTGGTGGACACAGGTCATCAAGTAGAATTGAACAAAACTTTTAAGGTTATCCATCATGTTCCATCAAATTTATCAAATGGTTTACGAACTCGTTTTTTACACATCGCTGAAGGTATTGGAATCCATTTTCACAAACCAAATCATTGCATCCAAAAGAAGTTTGTACAACCGTTCTCGCAACCTTGGCCATCGGTATAGGAGTGAGTTTGTATCAGAACTTTGATGAAACTCTCTCTTTTAAAAATATTTAAGCTATTTTTGAGTTTTTTCTACTTTTGTATTTTACTTATTCTCAACACTCGTCTCGTGATTCTTACACAACTATTATAAAACAGACCTCTCATCAAATTTCTTATATATTATGCAACGCAGCAAGTGGTTGATTTTTGAGTAATTATTTTCATTATTATTATCATTTTTCTTCCAATTGCTCTGTGTTATTTTATAATCAATATTTCATTATATTATAGTAAAAAAGCTCAAGTCTAAATGCTAGTTTAGTTTTGTTCACCATTGATTACTTGTTAGTACTATAGAAATTTGATAAACATAACGAAATAATTTTCCATTTTATTATGATTCATATCACATGATTCTATTTATTTTGTATGATGCATCTTTTTTGGGTTTCTTAATGTCACTAGGCATATTCTTCCATCGAATAATGAAGAAATTAGTGCTACCGATTCACGGAGTTATGAAGAAATAATGAATTCATTGCCTAATGATTTGCCTGTATTTATTTATTTCCATGGCAATTCTAAATCAAGAGCTATTCCTTGGAGGGTAAACATTTACAAACTATTGTCATCTCTTGGCTATCACGTTTTTTGTTTCGATTACAGAGGTAAGTTGAATTTCGGAGTTGAACAACTATCGACGGGAATGCTACGGATGTTGGAATTTTGAATTTGTTTACTCTTCTTAATTTGGCTTACATAATTGGTTATGTACTTGCTTTCTCATGTAAACTGTTTGAATAATAATACTGTCGTTATCCCGGTGGTTGAACCCTTAAAAAAATTAACTAAGCTCAATGAAAATAGTACAGAAGTAATGAGTGTAATATTGTAAATAATTGTACATTATGATTGTGATAGAATTTTTAACTGATAAATGTAGTAATGACAGTTTAAGTACTTACAAATTACTAATTTAGTGACATATAATATCAGTAAAAGAACTCTATAACTTTGAAAGAAGTGCGACCGTTTTTCCAATAAATGTTCTACCAAAGAAAGAATGAAAATACAGAAAACTAAAAGGAAATAACCAATATGTGGAATCATGTGATGATATGACGGAAGTAAAAAGTTTAACTAACTAAAACATAACTAAGTTTATTATATTAAGTATAATTTCTATTTAGATAGACTGCTCAGTAAGATATCTTAAAGAAGTTATGCCTGTTTGAAACCGTGTTGACGGTATTTTTAAATTGATGCTAGTGATAATACGAGTTCCAGGTTTTTAAGAGGAAGTGAATTTTTCTGATGTTGAAATTGGTAAATTTTATTAACTTTATCCTACTAAGTTTTCCAGCGAGGTGTTAACACAATCAAAATTTACCATTAGACCAAAGTTTGTAAGTTATAAATATCAGAAATTTCAGCTTAACGGTAAGTTTTGTTTACATCACAGTACTTAGTTGAATCGGAGTTTCGATGTTACTTTCATCATATTTATATAGCAAATCATGGCTAAGAGTCATTGACCATCTGGTGACACTAAACATTACCATTCATTAGATGAACATGAGCGAAGGATCGACATCCGCAACCAATAGCTTCCCTGACTTATTACATATAGGACGTTTAGAGAAATACCATGTAGACTTTGTTAGCCGCTGCCAATGTTCTTTCATGCTGCACATGTATTTAATTGAAGGGCCATTCTGTTTACAATGGTTATCCTAGATAATAAAATGACAGAAAGTTTGTTTCCCATAGACCGTTCCTTGTCTCAAAAATCTTCCTCCGTTGGAATCTAACGCTAACAAACATCTCTCGTAACATAGCCGTTTCATATTGTCATATGAAATGACGTTACTATAGTAACAAGATTTATGAGATGTTACTTTATTGAAGCTGACAGTTTTGTATTCGTCAGACAGTAGGTTTTCCATTAGACTATTAGAACTAAGTTTTTTATTTGTTTGACAATAAGGGTGACAAGAGTACACCGAAATACAATTTTACACCCTGAAAAGTTAATTTCCCACAGACTATGCATCGTTCGAATTTCAGTAACTTTGTTTTATTATGACTAAGCATTATCTTGTTTTACAGTGTTATATCTACTTGAATTATATTATTTGTGATAACTGAAATAAGTTTGATGATTTCTAAGTCAAAAATCAACCAGTTAGTGATAATACTTGAATCGTTCGATTAAATTGATTTATAAATATATGAAAAACTTTACACTTTAATCAGTTGTTACCTGTAACATTAAGTTAGGATTTACCGTCATAATATTCCAAACATAGTAAATACTAAACATTTCACAAACAAAACGTAAGTTATGCAAGCTAAACGCACAATTTAGTAAGAAATATATGTTTTAGTCATAGTAAATGATTGTACGATATATGATCACTTTTACGCATACTAATGTAAGAAATGTTAATTTTCATAAATGTGATGTTGTTACATAATAAGTGCTGTATTGACAGTATATTATGACAATTCCAATCATTATTCAACATAGTACTGTTATGTCACATGCCCCGTCAAATATCACGTGACAAAATCGCCAATCAGGATACTGACTTCTATGACATTACCCTTGTGCTAAACCAACGATGCATCAAAACAGCACTAGCAGCCTCGAGTCAACTCTGAGTCCTTATTGGTCCTCTGTATAGTAACTTCTCGCCTAACCCAACCCGTTCTGTCCAGAACACAAATATCAGCCTCCAATGTGTCTATCGTATATTTCAGACATGCATAGTTTGCATACAAGCAAATCAGACCGCATCATACCATAAAATTAAAAATAATAATTATACTTCATCAAACCAAACGTGGCTGTATGGAATACTGTAACTTATAAATTACTTACTTACGCCTGTTACTCCTCGTGAAGGAGCATAGGCCGCTCACCAGCATTCTCCATCCAACCCTGTCCTGGGCAATCCTTTACAGCTCTTTCCAGTTGTTATTCATTCTTTTCATGTCTGCTTCGATTTCCCGACATAATGTGTTCTTTGGCCTTCCTCTTCTCCGCTTCCCTTCGGGATTCCAAGTTAGGGCTTGTCTCGTGATGTAGTTTGATGATTTGCGTAATGTATGTCCTGTCCATTTCCATCGTCTTTTCCTAATTTCTTCTTCAGCTGGAATCTGGTTTGTTCTCTCTCAGAGAAGGCTGTTGCTGATAGTATCCGGCCAATGAATGTTGAGTATCTTGCGTAGACAACCATTTATAACTACTTGTACGTTCTTGATGGTGGTTGTTGTAGTTCTCCAAGTTTCAGATCCGTACTGTAGAACTGCCTTGACATTCGTATTGAAGATTTTTATAAATTGGGAATAAGTTAAGAATAGTTGTATAACAGTAACCAATAGGTCAAGTGAAGGCTTATGATAAAACGAACACAAATATACATGTAGTCTAGTCATATATTAGTTATTCGGTGAGAATATATGTAATAGTAGTCTATAAATAACTCCTAGCAGTTATTATTCTTCGTTCGGATATAGTTGTTTATGGATCTCTCTAAAAACGAAACATGATTCTGTACATCTTTAACTCATGTACTCCACCCGTAATCACTTAGTTCTCCTTAATTTATTTGTCTAACTACTCTCTATCCCAATATTTCATTCTAGCTTCAATAGCATTAAATTGGTTCTCAAACCACAGCATAACATCAGTACATGAAGATCTCTGTCAACTCCATTAAGTTATGCGGAGTATCTTAGGCTTCTTGATCAGAATTCGATAGACAGTCTATATCTTGTGAATTCAGATAATACGATCTTGAATCAGTTCCACGTCCGATTTTTCATCTGTCAGTGAATAATATCCATTTACTCATCACATTTGCTTATTGTTTCTTCCTTCTCTTTAGCATTTATTACATTGGATTCCACTCACCGTATTATTTTTTAAAAACTGTGATGTGAATTAATAAGTTATCTTTTCCAAGCCTTACATAATTTTTGTCTTTTTACTTTTCATGGAGAACTTTTACTGACATTATAGATACAGACACTGTGAACTTAAATAGAGTATCAATGACTATAGATATACATATTTAGCTACAGGATTTAAATTTTATGATTCCTAATATCAGTGAATCGTATGATCGAACTTGTGTATGCAGCAAAAAGCTAATAGTTCTTTTCGCTGAATGCTTCTTCAGTTGATATAGTAAAAACGTTATATGATTCGATTAGTCGTAGGATTTGGGAGAGATATTCCTTAACTATAACAGTATATATGAAGTCTCCGTAAATTTGGCTTGTTGGTAACTAACACTGTTCACAATGTAGACATAATAAGTAAAGATTGGCTGATTTATCAAATTCTTTATCTGTTTAAGAATCGTGGTCCAGTTCGTGTTATTTAATTATATTACACTTAGTAAATTTTTGAAGTTATTGACATCAGTTTGTGAAACCACTAACTGTTAATTCGAACTAAATAGGAAAATACAGGCTTTATTGTTAGATTTCTTGAAAATCTCATCTATGATTAGATTTTCTAGACAAAATAATTCACAGTTGACTCCAAGTATTTAAATGGATTCATTCTTCGTAGAACTCGAATTTGTCAACGTAACATTAATTCTTGTTTTGTTTTATGTGACTACATTCTTTTCATCTGGAATGTTTTTTTCTGATTGGTTCTTTTCATCGGTCAGACTAACTCTTGTTAATTTTCTCTGACTTTACTATTGAAAATCTGATTTTCTCCAGGTGCTACAACAGGAAATGATAAATCAAATCAAGGTTTATAATTGGAACTATATAAAAAATATCATACAGCTACTGTTTTTAATAAAATGTTAGTGAAAATATGAAGACTAATTCATCAAAGAACAGCTGTTGAAGTTTCACATTTCTCGTTTCTTCATGATATGTATGCTCAAGGTCACTTTTCCTTGTGTAACTCACGATGTTTTCTTGTTTTTAACCTATTGTTTTGAATATCTAAGTCAAATTATCTCAGAAATTACTGAGTTAAACCTCTTTCTTTATATATAATATCTTTACTGTATTTTCCATCCCGTTTTTGTAGTTACTGTTATAGTGCAGTTAACATGGTGTTAACCATAAATTTGTTTTTTTTCTAAAAAAAGGAAATTTTAATCAGTTGTCTTGCAGTAAATATCACTGATAAATACACTTGTTTAGGAAGTTCGATTTTGAAAGTGTTACGTTATCTGCATATTATACAATTTTTCTCAAAATTATTTCTCACTACTTACTGAATGGTAGTTAGTGATGGATAATCATCATTTAGGTCATGAATTCAACTTGGATTTCATAACGTTTTTCTGTAACTTATAAGATAGAATATTTATCTATAAAAACTACTATAAGTTTGGTTTAGCTCAATTAAATACTGAACTGCTTTGAAATTTTTGTCGAAGAAATTTTCTGAAAATTAACTGACATTCACAAATACTCCTTCCATTAATGATTTTGTAGACTGTTTCATTGATAAAACGACCCACTTCTTTTGAATTGTGTTCATAATAATGTGTATCCTATTATATTAGGTGGCCTCACGATTATACTAGCAGCAGTTTTTACCGAAGAATCATAAATTTACCATACACAGCCTAAATGTTATGTATTTCATCCTTCCAACAAGTTGTAATCCCAGTGGGTCTAGTTTTCCTAGCATTTGTTCAAATGTGTCTGTCTAGATGAGCATAAAATTATTTATTGATTGAAATACACATGGAGAATCGTTCAATATGAGATTGATCGTTTTCTTGAAAGCCACTAAGAAATTTCTATCCAAGATGGTTTATGCCTAAAAGTTGAGAGTTGCATATCTTATAGTTGGTATTTTGTTTATGGTAATGTTCTGTATCAGATTTCTAATGTAACTTGTCAATCATTTACTGTCGTTTAAGGGGTAGTTATGCTACGCCGTTAGGGTTTAAACCTATTAATCTGATTAAGCTCAATAATCAAGCCCAGTTTTCGTGTCGTACTCTTTAGTTCAGGTCTGTTGATTCTACTTCACTTAAGAAACCGAAGTAGTTAGGTTCTTAAGAGGTCAACCAATGAATCACTGCTCCTCACGTTGATGTAAATGTCCCATATTTTTTGTGGGCTAACAGTTGTTCTAAAGATACTACATCGAAATTACATGTTAAAGATATTATAGTATTGGTCATGTAACGTTGTTTGAGGGGTTAGGTAGTTTTACATCTCAGTGTACTGTGAGCTAAAACTGTTGAATTAATATAACTTATCTTAATGATAGATTAAAATAATCACCGAATTACTTTAAAAATTACAAATGGAAGTGATTAAGAGATATATACACATTTAAAATATGCTGTTTTTTTACGATTATGGTTCTTCATTCACAAACTAGCTTCTAGTAGGTTCATGTGACTCATCAGTATGTTGACGGAAACGTAAATTGAGGTAGATTCAATAACTTAATAAAAGTGAGTGGAATTTGCTCTTGTAACGTATTTTTCTGAACCACATATCTATCATAATATTTAAGCGAAGGGAACTTATTCACAATTAAGATTAATTATGTAGCGTTTTCTGTTACCTTCAAATATTGGTAACTGGCATACAATATATATGGTATGATTACAGTACATTTTTAATAATTTCAAATATTGGTTTGTGTTGATTTAAGGTTATGGCGATTCAACTGGGTCATTAACTGGAGAACATGACTGTCTACTGGATAGTTTAACAGTTTTTCAATTTGTTTGTAAACGGTTTCCTTCAGCGCCGATTTTCTTTTGGGGTCATTCACTTGGTACTGGGTAAGAAGCATTTTTCATGTTTACTATCAGTGCTAGTAGTAAAAGATTTTAATCGATTGTGTATATCCTCTCACAAATGGTCTGACGCAGTTGACAATGGATAGAGTCCAAAATTTCTCTCGAAATGCCCTTGTGCTGCTCCGGCTTTGTAACCTTTTCCAAGAATCTTTTTGCTACTGCCCTTATATTGTAGTGGATTTTATTGTACCCCAAGGGTAAAAAGGATATTTGATGCTTTAGATAGTTCGGTGGATATTCAGTTCTGGTTATGACTTACGAGCCTATCTAACATCACGTGATAAGACCAATATCAATATCGATTTCTACGACTTTATCCTTTAGCTAACCAATAATATGCCAACCAGCGCTAGTTGTAGCCTTGAGTCAACTCTAAATCCTGATTGGCCTTCGACACAGTAGCTTCCCTCCTTTCCTGTCCATTGAGTTCACGGCACAGTAACCACTCTCCACTGTATGAATAGTAGTGTCAAACATACGTAGTTTATGTACAAGCAGATCAGACCTTATCACATAGTAAAATGAAAAATAACAATTATTCAAGATCAAGCTAAAAGTGCTTGTGATAGGGGAGACTGAATAATCGGTTGGGAATAAATCAAGAATAATAAATCGTATAATAGCAGTTAATGGGTCAAACGGAAGCTTGTGATGAAAAGGAGATAAATATATATAAGAAAGTTGGAAAATCTGTATTTGAAACCAATAATTCGAATGGGTCCCAGGATTTTAGAACGAATAGTACACAAACCCATTTTGAACCCTGGATACCATCCCGTGATGTTTCGTGTTCGTCTTGTCGATTAAACCTTGAGGTCAGACAGTTGAAGGCGATTCTCTAAGAAGCAAACGTACCTCGATTTAGCCGTATACCTCACAAAACCTCTGGTAATTAATGAAAAAGAAGAGTAAAATGAACTAATGATGGTATGCATGTAACATTTAGTTGGTTTAGTTAATGTTGTAATGAAAATAATAGTTACAGAATTCATGCTGGTTTACAGGCATGATCAGCTTGATATAGATAGTAATATTAAGTATAGCTTAACAAACTGTGAAAATTTAACTTTTAAACCTATATATATAATAAAATAAAAGTGATTTTTATCGTGTGCAGTGCATTACATATATTTACTTTGCTACTTTATCTCAAATTACAATTCTTATCGATTCGATGAAGTTCCATTTCAGTTTGAGTCTAAAACAATAGTTTCAACTGTGTAAAGGGCAAATAAATCTAACATTACGTTTACAGTCTTTGATAATTGCACAATTAGATAATAGATTTGTTTTGTGCATCCTTTTTGTTAATAGGGTTGTCGGTTGTCTTATGGATCATTTAAATAAAGAGCATGATTCTTTACCAAATATTCGTCTTCCAAAAGGTATTATTCTCGATGCCCCATTTACATGCTTAACTGATGTGATACATCACAGAATATTCATGAAGGTAAATATACATTTCAGTTTAAGTTACCTTTAGATTATTAATTAAGTAGTGTTTGTATTATCTCTGTGTAACTAAATAAATACTATGGCCTTTTCATATACTTAGACACTTATCTTTGAATATACAATAAACACATGAGACGAAATCTGTATAATTCAGTTGATCCAAAGAAAAAAAGTGACTGGGACATGCTTGATAATAATTATATCTTTTTTTCTTATCACATTGTTATCAATAGTAGTTGTTAGGTATATTTTAATAATTATTGGAATTTGCTCACTGAATGTTTCTTACAACAATCGATATCCATATGAAATACTTTTGACGAAGGATAAAGAAAACTATCAACATCGAATTCATTGCAACGTCAAATCATTTTGGTAGACATTATGTTAAAATTCATTTTTACTAGTAGTAGTTCCTAGTTTTCTTTTCAATGGAAAAAATTAATAATTAGTTGTTTGTTCAGTTCTACTGTCATCTGTAGATCATATTTGTCGTATCAACACTTACTGATTGACTTATATTTTCATTTTATTACGTGGTACGTTTTTATTGTGATGATTTAAATTAGAAATATAGTTACAGAGCTATGATATAAGTAAATTACGATAATGAAATATTATCAAACTAAGCCAAAATCAATAATTACAAAATTACAGCCACTAATTACTAACCATTTGTTCTTTACAATTATAATTTATTTTATTATAGCCTTATCAATTAATGCCAACTTTACAAGAACGATTTGTATCGGCTATGAACAAAGTAAAATTGTCATTTAATACACAGTCTAAGTAAGTTGTTTAAAATAACCCAAAATGAAACGATTAAACATTTTATTTTGATATCATTTTCTTTTTTTATTCGAATATTGATAACTTGATTGAAGGTAAGGTATTTTGTCATGGTAAGTTTATCATAACCGTATTAGAGCGATACACTTTGAACAGTCGAAGCACATATCAACTATTTAAAGATATGTATATATTATGAAACATAAAGGTTGATGAGATAACTGAAACAATTGGAACTAATGAATTATTATGCTGATAACGCTGAGCTTGAAGCACTATGTTACTTAATTTAATTTCATAATGCAAGTTTTGTGAAGCCTTAAAATGATTACTGTTCTATGATTACTGATTCAAATAAGTTGAATTTTCTGAGTGAGCTTCTTTATTTATTCAGCATAAAATAATATACATCGGTGCAACTTCAAGATCGAAATGAAGCTAAAGAAGCACTGGACAACTTAGGAAACAGCGGTACAAAGATTCAACACAGCCTTCCTTCGAGATATTGACAAACTCAACGAATTCAGGATCGCTCTCAACAACAGATTCTAAGCCTTACAGGATTTACTGAAAGAAGAGGAAACTACTATGGAGAACAACTGGAAAGGGATAGAATATGCACTAACTTCAACATGTCAGGAGGTGCTGGGCCGCAAAAAGCATCATCATAAGGAATGGATCTCTGTGGAAATTCTGGACAATATTCAAGGAAAGAAGAACTAGAAGACGGCGAAAAAGAACAGAGAAAGTCAAAACACAAACTGAATACACAGAAGCAAACAAGCAAGTGAAGAGGAGCGATAGAGCCGACAAGCAGAAATACGTGAAAGAACTGGCAACGACGGAGGAAAAAGCTGCAAGATAAGGAAATATAAAAAAACTGTCTGACACAACGAAGAAACTAGCAGGAAGATATAGTTAACCAGAGAGACCGATCAAGAATAAGGAAGGCAAGACAATCACCGAGATTTAAGAACAGAGGAACAGATGGGTAAAATACTTTGAGGAACTGTTGAATAGACCAGCTTCATTGAATTCACCGGCCATCGAAGCAGCATTTACAGACCTTCCTATAGATGTCACTCCACCAACGACGCAAGAAACCAGAATGGCCATCAGACAAATCAAGCGTGGAAAAGCAGCAGGTCCTGCCAATATATCAGCTGAAGCGCTGAAGTCAGACATAGAAGTAACTGCAAAGATGCTCCACGTTCTATGCATTAAGATTTAAGAGGAAAAAAGGATACTCATCAAGATAATAAAGAAAGGTAATCTGAGCAAATGTGAGGACTGTAGAGGCATCACAATGTTATCGGTACCAGAAAAGGTTTTCAACAGAGTGTTTCTGAACCGGATGGAAGATTCAGTAAACGTCCAGCTTCGAGTTGAAGATGCTGGATTTCATAAAGGTCAGTCGTGCACGGACAGCTTGAGTGCAACTAGACGATTTAGACTTCACAAATGACCTAGCTCTTCTATCACATACACACGAACAAATGCAGATTAGGACAAACAGTGTATCAGAAGCCTCAGCATCAGTGGCCCTTAACATACACAACAGAAAAAGCAAGATCCTTAAATACAACACAAAGTACACTAACCCAATCTTACTTGATGAAGAAACTCTGGAAGAGATGGAATCTTTCAGGTACCTAACCTAGTAGCATCATCGATGAACATGGAAGACCAGATGCAGAGGTGAAGTTGAGGATTCGCAAAGCAAGGGCCGCATCACTACAATTGAAGAACATTTGAAACTGAAAACAACTGTGAACCAATATCAAAGTGAGAATCTTCAATACTAATGTCAAGACAGTTCAACTGTATCGAGCTGAAACTTGGAGAACTACCACAACCATCATCAAAAAGGCACAAGTATTTGTAAATAATTGTCTATTTAAGATACTCAATGTTCGTTGACCGGATACCATTATCAAAATCCTACTATGGGAAAGAACGAGCTGGGTTACCTGGAAATAGCTAACTGGTGCACTACTTGAATCTAAATAAGACCTATTTTCATTTTGGAAGTTTCAACAAGCTATATATATATATATATATATATATATATATATATATATATATATATATATATATATATATAAATTATTAATGACAATAGACATACAATACCTAATGAGCAGTTTATTGACTACATACATTTATTAAGTTTATAGTACAAGTGAATTCAGTGTTTTGAGGGATTTATATATGGAAATAATAGAATGAATTTATATTCTAACAACAACTAGTCACTTTATTTATTATTCCTACTACTGATAAATTAAATAAACAGATAAATATGTATATGCTGTATATAATCCTAAATTGTTTTTCTTTCAAACATATAATTGATCAAGACTAAAGTTTTTAAACAAATGATCTTGACTTGGGGTTTTAAAATGAGCTTTCCTATACAATTATTACTGGTTATTTCTTGTCACTGTATATATCAATATTTGTGGATTGATCAATGTGATATATAGTTTGTTAAACTATTCTTTCCTTTTTATTATTACTATTGGTTTATATTATTGGCTTCCAAGTAGAATGAAAGACTGATCGATTAGAATTCTTATTATAAATTAAATTTGTTTTCATATCATGTTACTGAAGTTAAAAAGAAGAAAAAAAAACAATTGAGTTTGTTCAAATCGGTAATCTTTGAGGTTATATAATTTTTGTCTTAGTAGAATATAATGCATATTGTGACACTGTTCAAATGTCCCATAGATTGTATTTTAGCTTAGTAGTGTGATATCAATTAACTAAAGTTTAATAATGACAATTTACTTTTTTAAAAAATAGAAAAGTTTGATTTACGTTGGGTTGGTTTAACAATTGCTAAGTTTATCTCAATTTATAATACTAAACAACGGCACTGTAGAAACGTGATTTATGATTCAGAAAAGTACACCAACACGTCTGTAATGTATTGTTTCAACCTATACTCTTTTATTTCGTTAATCAAGAAACGCTTGAATCATAAGAAACTAAGATCAAATAAAAGCATGATTGAGTTCGAACCGGCAAGTAGTAACACTAATCCTATTAAAGAAAAAGTAAGTAGGTGAAGCGAAGCTTGAACCTGTTACATAATTCAAGGCAAAAAAATGAGTGGTTTAGTCAATTTCATTCATAATGCCATGTTTGTTTGTCAGTTCAAACGTTAGATAATTTTAGTTAGAAGGAACAGACTTTTCTGGACTAAACAAGGAAATAAAAGTTTGAAATCTGGTCCTAAGTGTACCTTCAATAGTACTAAGAAAAGACAGTTAATATGGAAAATGTAATGTTTTCAAGCTATACAGATATCTTAGTGGCATACATACCTTTCAAGGTATTTGTATGTAATAGCTAATGAGAGTCACGCAAATAAAAGGTCAATTATAAAGTGATAATTTAGGAAGTAGTTAAAAAATAATATATCATGAAAGGAATAAGGAGTTGTTACATTGTCCTAGGCGGATTCATAGTTAGAATGAATTGTTTCTGTACATATTAATGAGACTTAAGTTTCTTAAAGATCAAGGTTTCCATCCTTGACAATTTTCGTATAAATTCTTGAAAGATGTGTTGAGATAAAATTCCATGACTTGCTTCAATAATGTTATTTGTTATCAACTAGTACTATTTTCTCCGCGTATTTGTCGGATCATTTGGTGATAACTGGTTGTGAAGTCATATAGGTACAAGTTCCATCACCCCTGATTATATAGTCCGATTGCTGCTCCCAACGTATATGTTTTAACACACGAATATGGAGTGATAAATCTAGTGGGTTGTAATTTAATTATTTATGAGATGTTCAGGCTTATATGTAATAATATGTCCAGTTTTCTCAATGACAATCAATACGACATAATATGTTCTTACATATATGGTTTCACATTCCAGCATATTGTTTACTGATGTTTGGTATATGCATACAAAGTAAATATTGAGTTTTTTTTTGGAAAATACTTTCGAAGTTCTGCAAAAATTGTAAGGTATTTCGTTTATTTACCGTTTTTTTACAAAATAAGCATTTATATTTTTCGTTAGATTCGGTTCCACTAAGTAAATATCATTTACTCACTATTACAAAATTACTAAAATGCTTAGTAATAACGTCACTCCACTCGCAATAAATTAAATTGCAGATCCAAATTTCAATTTGAACAATCGTACACTATCATTAAACCTTATACTATAAACATTTAAGCTCGAAAGTGAATACTCTAATCTGTACTGCATTGTTGAATCACATTCAATTTCAGATTTAATAAAATTGTAATTTGTTAATGAATAATAGAATTTTTCACTGTTAGTACTTATTATTTCAGGGAATGTTTTTAGTAAATCACTCATTAAAACAATTTGTACGTGAATTCTCTTTCATTATATAATTAAAACATTAAATCACGGCTTGTAGAAAATCACCCAACCATTGTCATTGATTTTTATGAGACCATTTAATGATTATATAATATGAATACTGAATCGAAATAAGGTCATTGGCATATATAATCCAAGCTTCTGTTTATAACAAATTGTGTTTGTATTTTGAAATTTCTACTACAGTCTTCACTTGTTTTATGTTGAATTCTGTAACTAAAACATAATATTTATTGGTTTGTTTATTATCGATTTTATTGTTTAGGACGAATAAAAAGTAATATTTAATCAGCATATGATTGACTATATTTTAAGTTTATAGACTGCATTATATTTCTATTTGACTCGTTTTCATAAAAACAATACAATGATTATCACCTATTATCACTGTACTCATACTATTCATTAAAGCTTTACATGTATGCAATCGTAATGGATAATATGAATCAAGTTTTATGTTACTAAAGAACTTTAATGATTATGGATAATTAAATATAGAAAAAACAAATGCTAGTTTCTGTTCAACCATTATTCATTCATCAAGAGTTTAGATCCACAATCCAGTTGATTTGAATTTATGACAAAAACTAACTTTCCACGAAGTTGCGCCACCATACACCATTGTCTTCAGTGAGCTGATATCTCACAACAGACCTGGTTGAACTCCAGTAGTCACGACTTCTCACTAGAACTCCAGGAGTATCTCTTGAAGTCAGTCACTAGTGAGCCGATGATTATTATCAGAAGGGGTTTGTGGAGATTTTTAGAAATTTCACTTGTTGAAATCATGAGTCAATTAAAGCTAGACCACCATGGGGTGCGGGATTGTGGATGCGCACTGCTGAGGAGTCCCACACTAGGACGAAACGGTCCTCCAGTGCTTCCAGGTTTTCCATGGTGGCCTAGCTTCAATTGACTCATGATTTCAATCTGTGAAATTTCTAAAATCTCCCTAAACCCCTTCTGATAAAAAACTAAGTTTATCTCAAATTATATTTCAATAAATCTTTTAACGAAACACTGATTATGCACCGCTTAGTAATCGAACTAGTGACGAATTCCGGAAATTGTAGGGAGAATCGGTAACTGGCTAAGTTCAACCATATCCAAACTATAGCAATTATTCACTAATGAGACTGAATAATTGTTGGGTTATATCACGAATCGATTCTAGTGAATAGATAGATTTTACCTCAGTAGTATAAATGCTCAGTTTTCGTTGCTAGCTATCACGGTTGTGTGTCTGATACCTGCTCGGGTCTTGGGTGGCCAACGTTGAAGAATTTCCAGGTTTTCCATTAGTCTATGACGAAATCTTTCCAAACACTGCAGTAAAAGAGTAAATTGGTTTCAATGTGATCAATCAAGAATTGAGGAGTCAAAAGTATCATTATGGTTTAAGGATATTGTTGTAAAGAAAATGGTCACAGATGGAAATGCATGTGGTTATTGAATGAGCATCGTACCTATCTGCAAGCAAAACTAAGCAAAATTTCATATAACATACTAAGTAAAACGTTCTAGCTTTGATTTCTTACATACATTTATTATAACATTTATGATTGAAGGCTTTTTATATTTTCTAGCCTAATAAATTGTCCCATTCCGATAGTCATATTACACGCTGAAGATGATGCTGTTGTGCCATTCACTTTAGGAAAAAAGGTAATCATTATAACAATTTCATTTGATAAAATACTTAACGAATTCATATTTCTTTGTTGATTTTCGGAAAAGAAAAATATCATGTTGAGTGATTACACTGGGTTTTGATTGTGTTTACTCGGGTGTTGTTAATCACTCAATGTATGTTTTTTTTGTCGAAATCATTCATTAACGAAATTTGTTAGTTCTGATTTTGAGATTTGATAAAAGATATAAATTAAGAAAGAGTTGAATAAATATGATCGAAGGTCTTATGACTCAAAGTTATTGGTTCTTTTATCATCATGAAAAGTTTTCATTAGTTATTTTATCAGTGTAGAGCATGAATTTAGTCTGTTATGTCTAAGCTTTTATTTGTCATTATAATTCACGAATTGAAGAAATCCCTCAAAAGTAGTATCTGTAAAAAATAACTTAAATTCCACCTAAGATCTGATAGTAATGCTTTAATTATGACTCAGTAAAAAATAATGTGGTTGACAATGTTGATATTATGCATCTATTATATAAATATTTCACATTATACTGTACGAAAAGAATATGCTAGACAAGGTGGAAATTAAATATTGTAAATAGAAAAAAGTGGGAAAAAATCATTTGATCAATAAGTAAATAAATACAGTAATAAATAAATCATATGCTTCAATAAATACTACAATCGAGATAAGGTTCACTTTATACATGCGAAGAATTTACTAGAAAACCACGGAAAGAATTCTCCCAGCTTCAGTTCTGAGCCATGTCTAATAGCATCCCATACCACTGAAATTGATGATCTCTTGGGTTACAATTAAAAAGTCGTAACCGACTTACAGATGCTGGGCCTATATAAATTTTGTACCATGGCTTTATGCCATTCACTGACTATCTTCAGGCTTTTTCTGATCATTTCTGGTTTCAGCACATAATGTGCCATTAATTTGATATCAAGATTATTCTATTCTCCACCAGATAAACCTTTCATGTACACCAATCCACTGTAAACACTAGAAATTCATTTTTATTCTTTTATATTTGCATGAATATCTATCTTGTGTGAAGCCAGAGGTAGTGTTTATCGTGGACAGACAATAAACACTCCGTCACTTGACAGCATTTAATGGGCGGAAAAGACCTCTTTACACTCTCGATTTTACTAAGACATTTGAGGAAATTTAAAATAACTACCACCGGTGAAATCAGGTAAACATTGTTTCAAGAATTTGAGTAATAAAAGCTAGTCACTAAGGAAAAACAACGTTTTTGTTGCTATATTCACCTGAATTTCCAAGGCTAAATATTTTGAAAGTATTGTTAATTCTCTTTATCATAACAGTTCTTTATTGATATTGACCTGAATTTTTCTGTGTTGAACTATTACTTTTATGAATAATAACAAATAACTATAGCTTGCTGAAATTCTTTCAACTAATGGTACTTCAGTATTCTTCAAGCCGTACGAAGGCAAACTCGGTTACCGACATAATTTTATTCACACAGCACCAGATCTTCCGGATATTATTACGTAAGTACTTTAGTGGACGAAAACTCAGGTGGGAACAACCAATTTATCATTTAATGCAAAATTACAGAGTTCTTTCGTAAAATGTGAAAAACCATACATTAAATGCCTCATTTGCAAATCTTCCATGAATTGTCTCAAACTTCATCGCTATTAAAATTACTCTCTTCTTAATTCCACGTTCTTTTCAAGTCTATCTTCGCAACCTTCTGCTGCCAGTCATTCCACTTCTGATCGGTGTCACATACTACTTATGTCCATCAACATAAGTAGCACTCACCGTATTACTAGCGTTTTTTAATGTATGAGGAATTAATGTGTTTAACTTGGAACACCTTGAATTAAGATATTTAGTACAGCATGCTTAATGTATGAAGTAACACCGTTTGATCAGTTCATTTAACACGCATCTTAACATAATTAATTTCTTTGGCTGTTAACTGAAGTGTTTAATTTTCAAAATGAGGTTGCCTATGGGTTCATTGTTAATATCAGGATAAGCAACTCAATAAACTAATAATTTATGCACACATAATATTTTAGTCAAGTAATAATGACAGTAATGAATTTTGCACGGAATATTTGACAGGTAAATGAATTTCTGAAACAAATGGGACTGAAAACACCAACGATCGAATCCTTGTTGACTTCCAAAAAAATGTTAATTCCAACGTAAATATATTGCTGCACTCTGTAAGCAGAAGTAAAATGTAGGATTTAAAATTATACATTTTTCTTAGGTTTGTCAAATAAAGTTAGTTATGGCTGGTTTTATTTATTGAATAAACTAGTGAGATATCTAGTTCATTTACCGAAAACATGTTTCAGATGAATGATCAATAGTTACAGTGAAGGGTTTAGGTAGTTGGAATTCCGGAAACCACTTTTTTAGGCGCTTGATTTAATAACTTCAATATCATCTTATCATATTCAATTTCAAACGAAAAACGCAATTATTGTCCATTTAGTATAATACTCAACTCCGCCTGTAGCTCTTATAGGGTTGCTGCCGGTCCCAAGCCCGAGTAAAGGAGGAGGGTTGGGCATGGGATTAGCGTCCCCATCCCGTAGAAAACTAACTCGCTAAAAAAACGCTTACCAGAAAAAATAATCCAAACCATTTTAACTCTGCCCTGGGAGTTAGAAGGTCTTCATTTAGAAGAATTATGACGCTTCATGGTGAAAGCCGAGTTCCTTCGGAAGCCACGAGGCCGATGCCCCTTCTAACAACCAGAGGAAAAATTTTTATAGGTACATGGAACGTTCGAACAATGTGGGAAACCGGGAAGACCAGTCAAATATCAATGGAAATGAGGAGATACAACTTAGCAGTACTGGGAATCAGCGAAACCCACTGGACCCAAGCTGGACAGAAAAGGCTAGCTACGGGAGAGATGCTGCTATACTCCGGTCACGAAGAGGACAATGCTCCACACACTCAGGGAGTCGCTCTTATGCTGTCCAAAGTAGCACGAAATGCACTTGTAGGATGGGAATCTCACGGATCCAGAATCATCAAAGTATCATTCAAAACAAAGAAGGAGGGGATCACAATTAATATTATCCAATGTTATGCACCCACCAATGATAGCAACGACGACATGAAAGATCAATTCTACGAGCGGCTGCAATCAATCATTGAGAAGTGTCCAAGAAAGGACCTCACCATTCTGATGGGAGATCTAAATGCCAAAGTCGAAATAGACAACACTGGATATGAATATATCATGGGATGACATGGACTGACTGGAAGAGAGAAACGAAAATGGAGAAAGATTCGCAAATCTGTGTGCATTCAACAAATTGGTCATAGGAGGCACAATATTTCCACACAAACTTATACACAAAGCTACATGGATCTCACCGGACCACACTACAGAGAACCAGATAGATCATATTTGCATCAACAAAAAATTCCGAAGGACAATGGAAGATGTGAGAACCAGGAGAGGTGCTGATATAGCTTCAGATCACCACCTAGTTGTATCCAATTTAAAACTGAAGCTAAAGAAAAACTGAACAGCTGGACAAACAGTAATACAAAAGTTCAATACAGCCTTCCTTCGAGATACTGACAAACTCAATGAATTCAAGATAGCTCTCAACAACAGGTTACAACCCTTACAGGATCTACTGAAGGAAGAAGAAACTACTATGGAGGACAACTGGAAAGGTATCAAAGAAGCATTAACCTCAACGTGTCAAGAGGTTGTGGACCTCAAGAAGAATCACCATAAGGAATGGATCTCTACAGAAACACTGGACAAGATCAAAGAAAGGAAGAACAAGAAGTCAGCATTAAACAACAGCCGAACACGAGGAGAGAAAGTCCAAGCACAAGCTGAATACATAGAAGCAAACAAACAAGTGAAGAGGAGCATTAGAGCCGACAAGAAGAAATACGTGGAAGAACTAGCAACGACGGCAGAAAAAGCTGCTAGAGAAGGAAATATGAAACAGCTTTACGATACAACGAAGAAACTATCAGGGAAATACAGTAAACCAGAGAGGCCGGTCAAAGTCAAAGAAGGCAAGCCAATCACCGAAATTCAACAACAGCGTAACAGATGGGTAGAGTACTTCGAGAAACTCCTGAATAGGCCGGCTCCAACGAATCCACCGGCCATCGAGGCAGCACACACAGATTGTCCTTTAGATGTCAATCCACCAAGGAAGGAAGAAATCAAAATGGCCATCAGACAAATCAAGAGAGGGAAAGCAGCAGGACCCGACAACATACCAGCTGAAGCACTGAAGTCAGACATCGAAGCAACCACAAGCATGCTTTATCTTCTATTCAAAAAGATTTGGGAGGAGGAACAAGTGCCGATGGACTGGAAAGAAGGACACCTCATCAAGATTCCAAAGTAAGGAGATCTAAGCAAATGTGAAAACTACAGAGGCATAACACTACTGTCAATACCAAGGAAAGTCTTCAACAGATTGTTGCTGAACCGGATGAAGGATGCAGTAGACGCCCAACTTCGAGATCAACAAGCTGTATTCCGTAAGGATCGGTCGTGCACAGACCAAAGGGCGACACTACGGATCATCGTCGAACAATCAGTTGAGTGGAACTCGTCACTGTACATCAACTTCATTGATTATGAAAAGGCATTCGACAGTGTAGATAGGGGAACATTATGGAAACTTCATCGACACTACGGAGTTCCTGAGAACATTGTCAACATTACCTGGAGTTCATACGACGGACTACAATGCAAAGTAGTGTATGGAGGACATCTGACAGATGCATTCCAAGTAAGGACCGGAGTCAGACAAGGCTGTTTACTCTCTCCCTTCCTCTTTCTTCTGGTGGTCGACTGGATTATGAAGACCTCAACATCTGAAGGAAAACACGGAATACAATGGACAGCTCAGAATCAATTAGACGATTTGGACTTCGCAGATGACCTAGCCCTCCTATCACGTACACACGAACAGATGCAGATGAAGACAGCCAGTGTAGCAGCAGTCTCTGCGTCAGTAGGCCTCAGCATACACAAAGGGAAAACTAAGGTCCTCAAATTCAAAGCGGAGAACAGCAATCCAATCACACTTGATGGCGAAACTCTGAAAGATGTAGAGTCCTTCACATACCTGGGAAGCATCATCGATGAACAAGGAGGATCCGATGCAGACGTAAAGGCGAGGATCGGCAAAGTAAGGGCCGCTTTCCTACAATTGAAGAACATATGGAACTCAAAACAACTTTCAACCAATATCAAAGTAAGAATCTTCAATACGAACGTCAAGGCAGTTCTACTGTATGGAGCTGAAACTTGGAGAACTACAACAACCACAATCAAGAAAGTACAAGTATTTATAAATAGCTGTCTACGCAAGATACTCAACATCCATTGGCCGGATACCATCAGCAATAGCCTTCTGTGGGAGAGAACAAATCAGCTTCCATCTGAAGAAGAAATTAGGAAAAGACGATGGAAATGGATAGGACATACATTACGCAAATCATCAAACTGCATCACGAGGCAAGCCCTAACTTGGAATCGTGAAGGGAAGCGGAGAAGAGGAAGGCCAAAGAACACATTGCGTCGGATAATAGAAGCAGATATGAAAAGGATGAATTACAACTGGACGGAGCTGTAAAGGATTGCTTGGGACAGGGTTGGATGGAGAATGCTGGTGAGCGGCCTATGCTCCTTCACGAGGAGTAACAGGCGTAAGTAAGTAAGTAAGTAAGTAGTATAATACTCACGCATTTCCAACTAGGAAATCGTATATATTGTTGTACAATAATCTAGCTAGTTCATTGATGGAGATGTAATTCTCCGTAGTTTTCATGCCTTATATATCAATTGCACGATTGAAAAAGCGAAAATATTTTTTCCTAAAAGGTAAACTGTACACATTTTGTTTGAATTGCAGTCGATAATTACATGTAGACTTTGAAAAATTTCGAGTAACCTTTCAAAATAACTAACGGTTTGGGTAAATCGTGGTATACAACTTTCCACTATCTAACAACTAGTTTCTACCTAAATAATGTTCTCACTAGGTTACACTGAGATCTGTCAGGTTTGTTTCAAACATTTCGCAAGTCACTTAGTTAAACATCAAAACTCACAATGGGAAAGTTTAAATGAACTCAAGATGACATTTCAAACGTTTCCCGAGTCGCAGCTGGAAAGATTTTTTATTTAAATCATTTGCTTAGGAAGTGTACTATCGACTGTTTGCTTTTGGAAAACATCAGTTGAAGTCCCAAACTAAGAGATTCTATTCCTCGGAATGTGATATGTCAAAATTGCTCTCTCCCAACTCTTAGGAATTACTTTGTTTGTTCTTATTAAAAAGTCTTGCTTAACTAAATTCATTAACTGTTATAAAGGATTCACTTTATAAATTTTCTGTAATTCATCATCAAGCGTAGGTTATGTGTGGAATTTTGAACATAAATGACTTTACAACACTGCTAGTGTATCAGTGAATTACTGAGTAATTTTAAGGGGTGGATACAATGGTCTAGACAGATGAAACATTTACTACTGGATTTGTGAAGCTGAACCAACTCAGTTAAAAATAATCGTACATTTTTGAAATGATTTTTAGTTTTCTGCATTGTTTCTACGAGGCGTAATGGTTATATTGAAAAATGTTTGACACAAGGCTTATTACAATATAATATTGTTGTAACGTGAAAAATAATTGCTGATTAAGGGATAGCGAATTATTGATCGGACCAAAGACGCGCAAACACGTAGAACGACCTAGGGTTCTGATTGGCCTCGCTTCCCTGTATAGCCCAGCCAATTGAGTCCAGAACGCAAGTCACAGCCTCGGAGTTATGAATCATTATATTTCAAACATACTTTGTTTATATACCAACCAAGCATACCACATCGTACCATAAAATAGGAAACAACATTTACAAAATATTTAACAAGTGAAATAAACATCGACCAATAAGAAATGTACATTTAAGGTTCAAGGACACCATTGGACTTAACATGATAATTATTGGTCTCTTTTTCCGACTATCCTAACAAATATAATAATGATTCCAGTTATCTTTCAAATGACAACTACTTATGTATTTGAAAGCAAATATTTTTCCATTAGAATATTTCCTTCTTTTATTAAATAATCTTTAGAAAATGTTTTCTTTAATCTTATTCCCTAATATTAGATCATTTGTTCAATCCACATTGTCTGGAAGTTTAAATGCATTAGAAGATTTAATCATTTGAATCTGATGGTGTAGATTAGATCACTAAATATTCGAATATATTCTATTTTCAATATCTATGTGCTGTATACAATCTATCAGCTGACCTGGTTTTATGACAAATATCATATTACTTACAATCTGTCAAATGATTACATCATTTTACAATTTGTTTCTGTTGTGTGCTATTTGTTTTGTTTTTTTAAATAAACTTATTTTTATTGGCTTGTTTTATAAAAGTTTTTCTTTTTGTTTTTACTTTTGACTCAACATCATTATTTTTTTTCTGTCTTAATATTTCAGATTGCTTATTTTTTATCTCATTATAGTTTTATTTATTCTTATTCTTATTATGGTTTCATCATCCAGGGATATTGTGCCGTAAAGTATCATTATTTTGTGTGTGTGTGTGTGTTCAGTTATTTTTCTTTCCATTGAAGTGAACGTTCTGAAATGCATTATGTGTAAATTACATTCATGCTAACATACATTGTGTTTTAGTTTTAAATCTATTTGATATAATATGGACAATATATATGAAAAGATGTTTAAATGAATATAGTTCTATCTAAATATATATATCGTTTTAATACCACTGATTAGTATGTAATTAATTGATTATCTGTTTTTACTTTTGAGTAGAATCATTTCATTTGAATACTGTAAATAAGATATCATAAGTGACTTTAATTAATTAATTAATATCAGAAAGGCATCAATCAACAAGTGGTGTCTGATAATTTGAAGGCATTCAAATGGCATTAGGACTAATATTAGAAAATATGCTTGATCAGGTGTTATTCAGCGGTCAGCTTTCGTGTTGGTTGATAAGAAAATTCACTCAGGCGAGAGAACTTTGTTGAAATCAACTCAAGGAACTGTTAAGAATAGTTTCTTACTAAAGTTGTGCTGTATATTTATAGTTGGATCAGTGAATCAGTATTATTACGTACCTTACATATTATTTTTCCTTTTGAGTGCTAAATAATCATATTACTACTAGCATATTGGGATAATTTGCTGTGTTTGCGCGATTACTTCTATGAAGATAAAGTTCAGACTATCAAATCAACGGAGATTCTAGTAGCTCTTCGTTGCGTCAAAATATAAGTTGACTACCTCGAACATTTTGAAACTTAAACTAGATGAACTCGGGCGTGAAGTTGTCATGAAATCTAGAATCTCTCTTGGAGTTTGACTTCTAAAACCGTAAAATGCTTCATAGTTTATTTAAGCGAATGATATTGTTTTTAACTCTACCTCAAACGTCTTCCTCGAGGTTAATTCGAACATACAGCTAACGCTGTGTATGTATGAGTGTTACTGCATTGTCAATTCCTTACCAATTGCGGAACACACTTATCAAACTGCCTTGATTAATATGATGTTTTACGTATATGCATATAAATATCGCAGTATATTCGAGTTACTGGGTATCAATATCAAGGTTGAACTTGATAGTTTCAAATAAACCGACTGTTGTGTAGGGAGTTAATAGTAAATATATTCTTGCTATAGCGCGATGAGTAGAAAAATTGTATTTCTGAAGCTTCGTGACTTAATGTAAGCCATCTCTTCGGGGAAAATGAATCACTAAAATTAAATAGTACTATTTAGGCTTGTGTTAGTTTAATTCAGTTATTTATTTACTCTGAAGAAGTGCC